ACACAATATTGCATAATTAAGTGAGACTTCTCATTTCAAGGACATTCATGTTGACATCGGCTTTAAGTGCCACGACCATTGCCAACGTCATTATGCTACACAAGGCCAATAGGCCTTGACAGATGCCCTTCCAGCTTTCAAGGGTAAACATAACGATTAACGACCAAGGCTCTTAAGCCTAAGTCTGAAGGCCCCTACGGGCTATGTTATTTTACTCCTTCCCTTGAGTGGAATGATTGTGCAAGGACATGAGATATTTTTGTCGCCAATGAATTTGAGCGATAATAAATGTTCTGTTGACATACTTAAAATACGCTTGCAAAGTATTCGCCCTAGTACCTACAGTGTCGTAATAATCGTCTGTTTCATCAATAGCAGACACCCCCACCTCTGGGCTGTAGACTTGGGCTCAAACGCGCCCACGCCCAGTCTAAGCTCCCGTTCTGAATTCGTTTGTGCATCGATACCTATCTCAGATCGACCCACGCAGAACTGTTCAATATTGATATAAGTTATAGCCTAAATTTTATACGCGATGTAAACCTTTCAGACTTATAAATATTAATAGAACTTTATATAAAAAAAAAATGAAAATTTAAAAATAATATATTTCGGCAATCCAACACCGCTTCTTATACATAAATTTATTTATAACAATATATAAACAAATCGTGGACATGGCCATTTTTTTAAAAAATCTTCAGATATTAAATCTAAAGTTAGAAGCCCTTATGGTATTTACCTTAATGCAACAAACACAGACGGACCTAACGGATTTCATGCGGATTTCACTGATGAACAAAATAATGAAGAAGGCTTTATGTACAAAACCTTCTTCGTGTATAAAGTTCGATGATGCAGTGTTTAGCGAGTTCGGTCTACGACGATAAAGCTCTTTATTATGACCCCGATCATAGGTGACCCATTACTAATTCGATGTAAATTATCGAGCTGCTCCGTACTTCGGAAGGCACGTTAAACTGCTGTTCCCGGCTACAGTACAGAGGTAAACACCCACCAATCCGCACTACCTTGCGGATTATGACCCGCTTTTTCTTATTAAATCTTATTTATTATTAATTTCATCCAAACAGCAGACCTGTGCATGTGCATACTTGTGAAACCGGAACAGGTCATTATATTTCAGCTTACACTGGAACTTATCTTTTGTCCTGAAGTGTTTATTTATAGAATGAAATATCCGACCCTCCAATTTAAATGGAATCGACTGACAAACATTAAAAAGAAAGTAACCAATTTTATTTACAACATAAATGGAGGTCTGCCTACGCGAATGTCTACTTGGACATTTAGGGTATATTAGTGTACAAATAATAAACCTAAAACTATATTCTACTTTTAAAGTATGTTAAAAGACGATGACAAGTTTGATAGCCTTTACATAAAGGATTAGTGAAGATTATAATAGATTTGAAACAGTTTTCAATTAATTTGATCTGTAGATATTTTAATTGTAATATTTTTGGTATGAAATTGCACAAATTTCATATATGTGAGCTAAAAAAATATTTCTGAATTTTATTTAAGTATCTATGCAATAAAAATATAAAATTATTTGTTTCTCAAAGCATAAATAGAAAGGGCCAACTGATAATGACAGTTCGTGTTGTCCAAATATAAGCAAAGCTTCTGCCTGTGAATATTCCCAGTTAATATATCGACGGTGGAAAGCAAACACGTAGTAACCCGCAAAACCAAAATTGTTCTTTAGAGCAGAAAAACTTTTAAAAAAAAATAAACGTCCACGGTAACAAATTAGGTATTCCTTAGTCAATTTATACGGAAAGAATATATTTTTTCTTGGAAAAATATAAATATTTTCCATTCTAAATATCCAATTTGGTTTTGCAGGTTACTACGTGTTTGCTTTCCAGCGTCGATATCTCACTATAACATTCTTTTGACTTCAAAACCAAAACGTTAAAACTCGTGTCTGAATATTTTTTTCTTAAACAAATGTCACCTAATATTAACCTGACGCATTTGTATACGAACAATTTATAATCTACAGCGTTGCTATCACAACTTCAAAATACATTTCGATGTAGGTACTCACCTATCAAAACATTTATTTCGATTCGTGTCCGCGTCAAATGTGAAAAATTAATAGCCGGATATTTTTTTTATTTTATATTTCGAGTATCAACCGCGGAAAACTGTATTATAATGTGGCGCCGAACGTAAATAAATGTCGCCAGCGAGACGCCCGCGTGTCGCACGCGCACTTTACGCCAAAACCGCCGAAATAAATATCTTTCAGAAAATGCGTTCTCCATTATATCAAAAAGTACAAATTGTTATATCCACACCCATCTTTAACGTTTAAGTGTTTTACATTAAAAAAAGTATTTATGCTTTTTACTTTTTCAGGACGATTATAAAACATTTATTAAAAAGAAAAACTAAAGTAACACTCACAGTCTCGTCTCTCAGATTACGTACATACCTATAATAGATTGAAGCGATGAAAGTTCCTAAGTCAGAATTATACAATATTTTATTCACAACTCATAATCGTAAAAGATATAAACATTTATTTTTTTTATCTCTAGCGGACACGGTTCCATTTTTGTATACAAACAGTTGTACAAAAATAAGAACAATCTGATACCATCAAATTATTGATACTTATCTATATCGTTAATAGATTTTTATTTCGACATTTTCCTCTTTTTAATTTAGATACCACAAAATCATTCTATATAAAAATATCCAGTTACTTACTTATATTTACATCAGATTGTAAACATGTAAATAATAAATAATGAAATTGTCTTATGATTATACAAAATCAAATATGTATTTACAGGAGGCGTAATATAAATAATACATCGGGTTATTCAACTAGGAACCAGTGGCAACTGACGTATTTGTGTCTTAAAATATTCATAAACTGTTCCAGACCAATTGTATTACTTCTTTTTTTAAATCATATTTGCTTTATTTAAAAATAAAACCATATATAGTTTTATCTCTCTGAGTATTTCATTTTACTAGGTATTTCATTTTCATTCTCCATTGATTTCATTATAATAAATACAATTATCTATTCATAAAAATTCGTAGAACTCAAATATGTAAGTCGAGGATTCTCGAAAATATTATAAATACGTATGTAACTACCTATTTGCTTACCGACAAATATCTACAACATATTGTAAGCTTCACTTAATAAATACCTACTCGTAAGAAAGAGTTGCCTACTTTAAATAAATTATTGTTATCGTGCTTAATATTTTTTTTATATCATATTGTGTTGTTGCCCAAATAATATATTATAACTATGTACTATATAAATAGACGATTTCTCTCGCCAATGCCAAAAAAATCCTCTGAACTATCCAGTATGAACGTTTATATTGCCAATATAATTTCATTGACGCGTTTCCAGCTATTAGTTGTGTACGTCACAGGCTAAGAACGATTGATAACCACTATTGGCACTGCTTGAAACCGGTTTTGTAATTAACACATCTGGCTTCGATTGAGCAGTACTAGGGTAACATACGTAAGCTATACTATTTCTTTTATTTTTACATCTCTACGTAGTCGTGTTATGTAATGTTTTCATATATTCAAACGTTTATCGGACGTTTGGATGGCACGTGTTTGCTCGATATAAAGCTGCTTAACTTTATTTACCAATTGATACAGTGATATAACATTTTATGAAATTGTTGAATTTTTAATATTCTGATTTGAAATCAGTTAATCATATACATGATTAGAATTTAAATAGATATATGTAATATTTTTATGATTTTCTCCCGTTACTATATGACTGTTGTTTTATATATGTACATAATCAAATGCTACGTACTACCCCATGATTTAATTCTTATTTTCAATTACCATTAAAAACGCGTAGGATGACAAACTCGAGAAAGAATCGTTTTGTCTACATCCAAATGTCTCTTTTCTCAGGTTGATAGTGAGATATTATATCGGCGTACCCAAAAAGTTACATTTGGATGTAGACAAAACTTTTTGAGCTCTGTTTACTACGCGTGCAGGAAAGCTCTTTAAACAGATTATGATTGTCTTTTTATAGTATTTTGTAGGGAAGTACCAGCACCAATACTGAATCGATGGGTTAAAATATGTAAAAATAATTATAAATATAAAATTAATTATACGAATTTAATTATATTTTTATTTTATTATTTAATTATTATATAAAATTAATTATACGAATGAGGTCTCATGAAGTGAATGATAATGATGAAATCAAATATCATATTTATTAAATATCAGCCAGTGGCACGTTGATTACACATTCACTGAGCCACGTGGCCAAAGCGTGAAAGTGACAATCATAAATTTCACTTCATTAATTTTCAGACAGACGCGGATTAAATGCCAAGGCCGATGGCGCGTGAATATTTATTTATATTGAAAATATACATACATAAGACATGTTATCGTTTTATAATTAGGACGTTTCTTATCGAAACGTTTAATAGGGATGACGACTGGGTAAAAAAAAGAATTTCTATTTAGTCTGTTAGTCAGATAATAGAAAAATATTAGATACGTATTTTTTTTTCTTCAATTTGAACAAGAAATGGCTTAGTTATTAGGCATTAAAGTTGAGAAGTGGAGGCTCACTACGTCACAGTTTTGTAGAAAATGTACCATAGCATAACGTCATGCGACATTTCAACTCAACATATCACCGTAATTTATTGAATACGCGAAAAAAAAAATACGTATTTGACATTCTTCAATAATCCACCAGACGGACAGAAAAAACAAAAATTATTCGTCATCCCTATTGTATAAGTTCAATGAAATTATTGAAATCAGTGACATTTATCCATCCTGTTTTCGATTTGTTTACCGAGAAATAACATGAACCCGCAGATTTGTCATTGATTGTTGCGTTCTTACGATTTTCGAGTGATTACTCACATTTCTTAAATACAACCTTGACTAAAATACCTGTTTTTTGTCTGCAGTATTCGTACTCATTCATAATAATGAGGGACGAGCGAGCCAGCACGCCGCGCGTGCGCATCGCCGTCATCGGCAGCTCAAGAGTTGGCAAATCCGGTGAGTAAATGAAAAACACACAAAAAATCAGTCACAGAAATAGTACTAACAACGTCAATCTACTAATCTTTATAACAGTACAAGAAAGATATAGAGCTACATTCGATCTCTTCTTCTATTCTGGCTATATCTACTAGTCTAGCAGCAACAATTGATTTCTCGATTGTTAAATGGTAAATACATTACACATTCGTTTATAATTTCATAAGAATCAAATAAATATAATAATCTGTGGCATATCCATTGCATTCTTATATAATTTTTTATATACTTCGTTCTAAACTTGGTAAAAGAAGCTTAGTATAAACAAATGATCAACACCTATCCAAACAAAAAATATTATAACTTCGAAGTAACGAAAGGGCCTTTTTGGTTTGACACGAATTTATTTGATTTCATATATAAAAAATTTATTTGATTGCACTCTTCAGACAACAATTTCAAATTTACTAAAATCTAGCTGAGTTTTATTTTTAGTTAAACAGAAATTATTGGGAACGATACAATTTGATACAATTAGAAAGCGAACAGGAAAAAAGTATTTTTTATTTGAACTCTCCAGTCCTCTTCATTTTTCCCGCGACCCAAATACTTTGAGTGCCTGTCATCGTAATATAATTCATGCCATATGAAAATTTGAGTTTATCCTGTGACATTCAATAACATTATAAATAAGAAACCTTTTAAATATTATTTGTAATTTACATGTTTAAATTACCAAAGAGCATGATTCTTAAAATTTCTATGATTTTAAAACATCATATAAATCTTCTAACAATTGGGATATTAAACATTGAAGCTTATTATAAAGTGCTTCGTCAATCACTCAAAGATGAAATCAATTATCCTTTAGCACCAGTTGATAATAAAATAAATCTCATACAGTATTCTATAATCCAAAATACCCATTGACCCGATGAAGCTATTGGTGATATAACCTCTTTGGACTGTTTTCTATAACAACATTCTTGTGTTAGGCAATCGATCTATGAAAACTTCAATCAATTTAGTTTGTATGATGTATCTAGTTCAAACCCACAGAGAAAAAAGGTCAATATAACCATTTATATGCGAATATTTACGACGCGATTATATAATAGCAATATTCTGACATCTATTTATAAGTTTTGTGTGTGTTGGTAAATATATGTATAGTAAAGTTAATATTTTTGTTGCAGCATTAATTGTGCGATACCTAACAAGAAGATACATCGGCGAATACCATTCCAATACAGGTAAAACAAATATACATTTTAACATGTATTTAAACGCTTACCGTATTAATTTAAAAATGGGACTGCTTATTACTTGCCACAAACAACCATGGCAGAAGAGAAAACGTTAAATTGACATATTTACTTATTTTGATCAAATAATGGTTTAACCCTGGTTTTAAATTTTATTATTGTTTTGTAATAAGAGCGTTTAGAGCAAAATTATGTTCCTTGCTAATAGAAGCTAATTAAAAATTCAAATCTATCATCTGGCAGATATCTCACAATACTTACCACAAAAAGTTCTAAATAGGCAGAGAGGAAATAAAATCATAAAGTGTATAAGCATTATATAAAAGGAAACAAAAAAAAATAGAATTCATCACAAGAGTCTTAAGAATGCTTCCAATTTGAATAAATTATTACTTTGACCACCCAAGTAGAAAGATTACAGTGGTGAATATTAATAACTAACCACTATTTCCGAGAATAATTTCGAAGATAATGCCTAAAACTCAACTCTTGAATAATACCGTAATTTAATAAGTGTAGAGCAAAATATGAAAATTATCATTCATCAAAAAGAAAAGCAATGTTATCTCAAAAGTTTTCTGTAAACACTTAATAGTGTCATGTATTAGGTTTTCACCTGTTCTTATCTAATAATATTTATCCTTTTTTTATGAAATAATATTTGAGCATTCCAGTTCAGGAAAAATGTAGCACGTATTGAAATTCTAGTTCTTGTAAAATCAATTAGAGAATTCGTTGGGAATTCTTTATTATAATATGATATCTAAACATTTCTCCATTTAATTTCATTGCTAAATTTTATTTTATAAAGATAAATTGTATTTTTCATTTACTGTTTTCTTCTTTATTAACAGATCTGCTGTACAGACAGACTGTGCCAATTAACGGCACTCCTGTAGAACTGGAGGTGATTGACGTCTCCGGTTCAAACTCAGACAAGTTCCCAGCAGAACAGGTGTGTGTCATTTTAAACGCTAACATAAAACCTCTTTCATCCTATATGTATGTAAAATATAAATATTTCATTCATTTTTATAGCATTTATACTTAATATACATTTCTGAACCATTGCCTCTGCTTCACAAGCTCAATGCCAAATGCTGATGTATTTCTATTGAAACAGACTAAAAAAATATTAAAAGGGGGCTTCTGAACAGCAAACGTGTTTTTTTTTGCTCGTTTTAAGTACGGAACCCTTCATACGCAAGTCCGACTTGAACTCGCTCGGTTTTTTAAACAAACGCCTAAAATTGCGACCTAAAGTAAACTTATTTTGCAAACATTATATCAGAAGTAACGCGTGCTAATTACCTGTGGATAATAACCATGAAGTTCCCTATTCTACATAAATGGACAGTTACGTATAAAATAATCTGACTGAATAAACCTGAATTTCTAATTCAAACTCGATTGCGCAACTTTAACTGATCTCGTTTATTCGTAAACGGTTGACCTTTACTTTGACCAATGTTTTTCAAAGACCATTTAATAAGCTAAGTTGATAACTCTGACTTCAACTGTGCGATTGAGTTTTATGTCGACTTTATAACGAACAAGGGCGATATCAAGGCCCTGCTAGGCGTTTATCACCTTCGACGAGATCTGTAAGCAAAGTTTAACAACTATGACCTTTGATCCAAACAATAAACATATCTCCTAAATCATTGAACGATCAGGAGGCACCGTAAAAATAACAGCAAGGCTAATTACTATTATCCAAGGTCTCTTCTTGTTTATTACATTATGATTAAATGTTTTTGAATAGTATAGGTGCTAATTATATCAACAAATAACCACTATAGGATCTTACTTATTATAATAGGTGAATTTGTTGTTTGTCATTTTTATTAGTGTATCATAATAAATTTATTTGTTGTTCATTTGTTTATATGGTTCATTTGTTATATAAGCATTGAGCCTTTGGTTATATATAATCAAACCGTAAAGCTTTTGGTAAAATATTAGGAAATTTAGTGGCCATCTTGAATGAACAAAGAACTGCTTAATATGTTACCCCAACGGAAAAGCGTTTGGAACGGGAAAACCCTTTAGTCCTTTTGTCTTGCATTTATTCAAAGCCTATAATATTAGATATCTATAAACCTTTCTCTTGAACCGCTCTGCCCCCTCGCTCTCGTACGCAATCGCGACAGATCGAAATTGCAATTGTGCAACGCCAGAGTATGCTAGTGAACCAATCGAAAATGCAATGTCAATCGGTCACGATTGCTTTCAAGAATAAGGGGGTTATATATTAATGAATGATTGTTTATAGACCTGAGCCCCTGCAGTGGGAACGTAAAAGGGCTGATGATGATGATACATTAATGAAAACCACCTTAAAATTCGTTATATAGTTTAAAAGGTACAGACTGCGGGAAGCAACTTTGTTTATACTATGTATAGATATAATATTCATTCAAATCATTAAATAGAATCTCTCCGCCAACATAAAGCGACATTAACTGTAGACTGGTAGACCGAAACAATTTTATGTCCGGCAACTGGGTTACCAGTCGCAAATATAATATCCGTAACCTACAATTTCGTCAGGGCTGCGTATCATAAAAACTTATAGTCATAAAAACTTAACAAAACTTTGCCGAAATATTTTAAAAAGAAACGCTTAATTACATCAAAAAAAACACCCCACCGCATATTTCGACGCATGGAATAGTTTTTTTTTTTAATGCGACAGCCCTATTAGAACTGCTCTAGTTCTGTGAGTCATTTGTGTTTATAAACATACGGAACACAGTTCTAACCGGTATATTAATTTATGATACTGTGAGTCAACAGTCTATTATAGAGAAATTGTTTCGGAATATAACTTCCATCTTAATTACATTGTTTTCCTGTATGAATGCATCTGCACTACTCATAATATTATAAAGAGGAAAGATTTAAGTTTTTCTATAATAACTTAAAATAATTATAGGGTTTTAAAAATTATTTCATCAATACGAGCGAATAATCCCTCCATGACTATATGCGTTGTTTGAGGCTGTTTTTATAACAAACAAGCTGCTTTCCCGCGACGTCGCACGTGTAAATTAAAGCCTATGTCATTCCTATATTATGTAGCTAGCCATTGGTGAAAGAATTTTTCAAATCCGTCCAGTAATTCTATTCTATGCAAACAAATAATCAAACCATTCCTCTTTAGAGTATTGGTTTAGATATCCCTGTAGACAGTGATAATAACATTGATACATAATCTCATTTGAAAGCTTTAACATAATGCAAAATGTTCGAAATTATTAGAATTACGACCATGTTTGTTCGTGAATCAATTATTTCGCCATTTTTCACAGACTGACAGTTCGCAAATCTGAATATGTCGCGCGCGTGGGCGCCGCCGGCAGCGCTAATTTTAACGACGGAATGTTGGCTTCACTCTTAATCACCAACATTCTTCTCTGTCTAGTATTATATTTTGTGAGCATCCTGTAGATCTATAAATATAGAAAGAAATGAATCCTTTCAAAGAATTTCTTCACTTCAGACTGTGTAAAACAGCTCATCAGAGATTAATTATAAAATAATCTATTGATGCTTCTTGTAATTCCGGACACAGTTTTATTTTTATACTAAAAACTGAATAGAAAGCGTTTGAATCTTTCATTCTAGAAAAGGTTCTTTGCTATCTTAGTTCCTGCTCTAAGAAAATACATGAAAATAACTAGAAATAATTTATTCGATTTTTTTTTTGTATATACTTGTATGTTGTTTTCACAGTTATTATAACGACTTATTTAAATCTAACCAACGCAAAGATTCAAAAGCTCTCGATCTTATTCCATTAATAAATTAAATTTAGAAAGTTTTAATCTACGAGTTATTGCCACGCTTCAAATGAAAAGTTTCAATGGAAATCTGTCCAAGGTCTTTCAAATCATCCATTTACATTTTGTCTTTATTTTCATATTCAGATAACCTAATATTATTTTAGGCGCAACGGACAGATTACTTTCTTTAGTTTCAGTAATTATTAAATTTGCAAAAGAAGGTGTTTTTGAAAACTCAAACCCTGAAAGGTTAAAATACGGGTTTAAAAGTTTGCATAGATTTCTGTCATTTTTAAGCTTAATCTTAATTTGATTGGAGTGAAAATAAAATATTTTGTAATTTTAATAAGGTACGAGTACGATTATTATTAATGGCTCAAATACATATAAGATTAAACCATATATTTTTACTGTAACTTTTACGTTTGAAATCACTAACATTTAACAAGCTATTCCAGAAATAGGACAATTAACAATAACTGTTATTTATCAGGTTCTTGTCTAAACAGTTAGTTGCTTTCAAAAACATATTTCATCAATCTATCATTATGCCAAAAAGCCCCTTAAGTAAACAGAATATCTGAATCCTTGACAATTAAACGAGGACTTTGTTTTGGAAGTTGGAAAATAAGACCTTGAATATTCCAGTCCAGCGAATTTTCTGAAACAAATCTCCTTGTAAGTTTAACAGTTATCCTAAATATGAATTTAAACTACAAGTAGGTACTTAGAATACAATAGCTCTAGACGAATTAGAAACGTCCAAATCAAATGTAAATTCACTTCGCAATTAAATGCGTTAAAAGGCTATTTAATTAATAGTGGGTATATTTTAATATAATTATTTGATAACTTCATGCCAGAACTAAGCGTTGCACTTTCTTGTCGTTCTTGACTCTTTTCATAGATTTTGATGGCTATTGGCATCACCTTCGGCAACACACAATCGATTAGATTATGAAAGATGAATCCTGTCCTTCCTCGACTTTTAGATCTTAACCTTATTCGACAATAATGTATATTTCTATGAACATTTTATTTTTATATATCGACGTCTCTTGTTCCAGATACAATGGGCTGACGCCTGCCTCCTTGTGTATGCGGTAACGGATCGTAGTAGTTTTGAATACGCGACTGAAATACTAAGTGCCCTGAAGCGCGCCCCTCGGGGTGGTAGCCCCGCTCACGGTGTTGCCGGCGCCTCAGCCGGGATGCCTCTCGCTCTGCTGGGAAACAAGACAGACCTGGATCACCTCAGACAGGTTAGTTAAAAATGCAAGTGCTAACAGAAAGAAAGAAAAAAATGCTTTATTGGCCATCACATGTCAAGTATTGTAACATTAAAGAAAAAAGGATGCAATACATGAGAGGCCAGCCAGATAGCTATCTCAGTGATATCTTTTGTCACAGTTGGCTTCACAAAAGCATTGATATTCTGACAGCCCCTTAACGCTAACAGCTATCTCGTATACTCGTATATGCAATCGGGTTTTATGAGTTTAAAGCGTTCTGGGAACGTATGAGATCTATGGCAGATTTTTTGAATGTAAACATTCGGGATTTTCAGCTTCTTGTCCTCACTTATATATTTTATGCAATCCCTACTTCAAATTCGGTACAGCTCCTTTATTTGGTAAAAAAAAGGTATTATGATAATAAAAACTAAATGCAAATGATTACACATAACTTTTCTCTTCTATTTCAAAACATAAATCACGAGTATGACGTACGTATACGAGGGTCAAACTGAAAGTTCTTAGAAAATCAAAAACTGATTACATTAGCCAGTTATTAGTTTTATTATATATTTTCAAAATATTGTCCATTCACGTCAATACACCGCTGCATGCGATGGAACCACTGGGAAAAGCACTTTGCCCACTCGTCCTTAGGGGTCTCTTCAATGGCATCGCGATACGCAGCCACCGCTTCTTCAGCATTCATAAACCGCTTTCCTTTAAGTTTTTCTTTAATTTTTGGAAATAAATAAAAATCACAAGGCGCGAGGTCGGGGCTATACGGCGGGTGACCTAGTAATTCAACGTTTGATGTCGCCAAATAGTCGATCGTTCGCTTGGCGGTGTGCGACGAGGCGTTGTCGTGGTGAAGGAGGATCCTACTGCGAGGTCGTTTCTCTCGAACTTTTTCCAAGACAAGTGGCAAACAATTGGTAGTGTACCATTCTGCAGAAACTGTTTTTTGATCCTCTAACACAATTGTTGCAAAATGACCTATCCTTCCAAAGAACGAGGCCACCATTTTTTTTCCCGCACTTCGATCTCTCTTCACTTTAGTTGGCAACTCCTCGAAAGGAAACACCCACTGAGCAGATTGTCTTTTGGTTTTAGGATCATAACAGTAAATCCAGCTTTCGTCACCTGTTAGTATGTCGAACACAGCATTTGAGTCACCTCCGTTAAATCTTTCAATCATTTTACGACACCAATCCACACGATGGAGTTTTTGAGCCTCAGTCAAATTATGAGGTATCCACCGGGCGCAAAGCTTCCTGACCGCTAAATGTTCGTGGAGGATTTTGTGCACTTGACTCATACCGATGCCTAAGCTTGTCCGAATCTGTTGATAGGTCACTCTTTTGTCAGTCTCTATCATACGCCGCACAACACAGATGTTATCTTCAGTCGTCGCCGTAGAAGGCCGTCCCTCACGTAAATCATCAGTGAGATTAGTGCGACCACGTTTAAACTCATTAAACCAGTTGTAAACAGTCGCACGAGATGGGGCTTCATCGTGAAAGGCCAATCGTAGTCTATCATAACTTTCTTGTTGACTTAAATGACATCGAAAGTCATAAAAAATCATTGCACGAAAATTTTCTCGTGTTAAATTCATGATGACGTGACACAGACAATTTTCAATTTGCCGCCAAATCGTAAAACAAATGACAAATGAATGAAATATATACTCAGTAATATTGGCAAAGAGTTATATTTTCAAATTTTAGAATTATTTTTTTATTATATTGTTTATAAGTGGCCAGTTCTAAGAACTTTCAGTTTGACCCTCGTACAACTGCCCATCCAAGACCTTGTCCTTCCGTGCATAGTCAAAGTGCAGGGTGACCTTCCAAAGATAGCCATTTCATTCATCACACGTCAACGTCTCCGTTGATCTTTCAACGGATTTGATAAATATTTAGCAAATTTGTGACGTCACTTTGATTTACCCAAGTTGCGTAATGACTTCTCGCTAATTTTAACGACACTCACTGATTGAAAGTTGAACAACAAACCAATTCAACATTTGAGTGATTTGTGGAGAATATAAATAGGTATTTCTGTTACACAACAAACGTTAATTTTAGCTAGATTTCCATTTTGAATTTTACAAATGTTTAAATTATTATAATAACTATTTATTTCTACGATAATTCATGAAAACGGGCAGCTTAAAAAGTAAAAAATTGACAAATCTGCTTTCAAATGAATAAAATTACGTAAAATCAGCCTAAAAGCGTTTTACAACTAAATTTTGCATCTCAAGGAGAACACAGACAATCGACAGACGACAGAATAAACATGGCGCTTTGTATAAGTTTCCATCGAGACAAAACAGAGGTACTGAGATATGAGAGCAGACAGTCCTCAACGTGAACAATGTGGCGTCGCTAGGGAATCTATTAGAACGCTTACGTATACGTTTCATGTGACAAAGCTTTGTCCGAGTCCTGTGATAATCAGGACAATGGAACTTCACTCTGAAAAGGGTTATATACATACAAATATATGGGTGTATATAATGGTATCCATACATGATCTATACACAAAATATTAAAAGTTTCTTGTTAAGTGATTCAACTGGAACAACCTACTCTTTTTTCGATTCCGGATCATTACAAAGATCATTCCTAAATGCAATTGTCGATCTGAATCTTTATAAAAACTAAATTTTAAGTTGCTGTCTAATCGTCAAGCGCAACTGAGCGCATTGATTTTATGTGATCAACAAATAAAAATGTGGCTGTCAAATATCACAGCTAACAAGTAAAAATCGATGTACTTAATGGTGTGCTTAAGAATTCTGACATAAAATAAATCATTATTGTTTCATTGTGTACAGGTGAGCACAAAAGAAGGGCAAGCGGTGAGCGCAGCGCATGGCGCGTCATTCAGCGAGGCGAGCGTGGCCGACAACTCCGGCGACTTATACCGGTGCGTCGACCGGCTACTCGCAGAGGTGCGCACGCCGCAGCGCACGCGCAAATTCTCAGTCACCAAAATGTTGGGATCACTTATCGGTAATTAAATTTCTTTTAATATGTCATCTCTTAATCTTAAGAAATCGAACTTTTATTAAATTTGCTCTCATTAGACAAGTTTTATGCTAATATATAGTAAAGAAATCTGATGATTTGTAAAACAAACCGGCCATGTGCGAGTCGGACTCGTGCATGAAGGATTCCGTCCGTACATCTCAAAAACGCAAAAAATCACGTTGGTTGTGATTTCTTATGTTTTTGTTGACAGTGGAACCTTGGTTCATGAATACAATCTGCTGGTAGACTAACAGACAGACAGACTGACAATGGAGTCTTAATAATAGGGACCCTTAATATACTAGGTTTTACCCTCCGGGTAGGTAATCTTAAAAGGAACACGTAATTAAAGACATCGATAATGATGATAAAAATTTTAAATTGTAGGTGGGGCAGCAAACAATAGTCAAGCGAGCCGGAGTGGGTCAGTGGTGGCGTGCCCGCGCGTGCCTGCGCCGTCGCGGCCGCCCCTAGCTGCGGCGGCGCCCTGACCGTCGGCGGCGCCTGCGCACCGCGCGCGCTGATGCCTCGCCGGCGCTGGCGCGGTGTGGCTCGCCTGTCTACCCGTGCCCGCGCGCTTCGTCGCGCCCACACCGCTCTCAGCCGCCATATGAAATCCAACGATCTCTGTTAACATATTAGCTACAGTAGGAAACAATGGAACTCTATTCGACTTCGCGTCTTTGTCTCCACGGGATCAGCGCACTTCGTCGCTAAATAACAACCGATACCTTCATGATTTTCAGATCTTCAGATCCGTGCAGATAAATAAAATAAAGTGTACTGTATTTTGGTTACTGTGAAGCTTTAAAAATATGCATTGTGATGATGATCAAGTATTAACATTATTGGGGACAAAATCCAAACAGTCAACTTCCTCATTCCTACATTCCGCTCTGGCTAATGTCTATCGCTTCTACTGAAGTTGACATTATTTATTACTGTTTTAATGGTTTCTCACCAAATAATCTTAGTCAGTAAGTTATAAAATATACGAACAATATTCCAGCTTTGATGTTTTGAATGAATATTGGTTGTTTCATGAAATATTTAGTGGTTGAGTAAAATTTTGACAATAATTGTACTGTATGCATCAGTTGTCTTAGAGATATCCGAATCATCTATCAAGAAAAATGTACTCAAACCGTGTATGTATGTGCCAAAGAGTTGATATATTTATCTTTCAAAGAATTTATGTGTAGTTATTAATCTAAATATCTATTAATTGACTCAAAAGTAATATCGACCCTGGAAAGCAAACACGTAAAACCAAAAGTGTTCTTCAGAGCAGAAAACCTTTTATTTTTTTCGATAAACAATTCCTATTAACGTCCATGGTAACAAATAAAGTGTTCCTTAGTCAATTTATACGGAAATAAGTTTAGCTTTTTTTTAAAAAAAAAAATCCATTTTGGTTTTGCAGGTTACTACGTGTTTGCTTTGCAGCATCGTTATATTCATAGCTTGTTACCATCTCCTGAAACAATTGTTCTCTTTCGATTTCTAGTCATAAAAAAACAAATATATAAATTTTTATTCAAGTTACTATGGCTGATGTAAATGAAATGTATTAAAATAGGTACTGAAGGTTGGATTATGTTAGGATATTGGAAAATTACTGCAGATAACATTTATCATGGCCTAATGTTTTCTATATAACAATTTTATACTTTTACATAGTATTATTAAAGTAAGTCTTTAATAGCCTAGGTATTGCATAATAGTAAATGCTTTATGAGAGATTTTTATCTATCCACAATGAATTTATTATATAAATATCCTCCTATATAATAGGACATCGATATCCCAAAGGCTTTTATTACTATAGTAAATCTAGTCCAGAGTGTATTAATTTTTTCATATTATAAAATATAAACTTAATTGACCTTATGACTTTACAACGTCAATAATAAATTGAAAAGCCAAAGAAAATATTTGTTTAGAAGAAATTACAATTTATTGAGGAAATAAATGTTTTATTAGTGTATTAAATGTCACGTAAAAATATGAACAACCACTTGCACAAACGTATATTATATTTTAATGAAGACTTAAAGCTCTATATGTTCTTAATATGAAAAGTACCGGTAATATGTCTTAATGTTAATTTTAATGGACATTTGTACAACGTGCACTGGCAGTTACTACCTGTTTGCATCTGTAAAACATTCTAGAATATCCCAAAATGAGATATGTGTGTACACTTTGCATATAATCTTTGTTTAAATATTAAGAGAAGTAAAATTGTTTGTCGACATAAACGTAAAATGTTTAAATAGTTGTCTGTCTCATAAAAAAATTATAAATCATCTTCTAGTCATAGATTAAGGGCTGTGAGTGGACACTGGTTTTGTAGAAGGCACCAATGGCTTTAAAATACTTCATGTTATTACTCAGAATAAAGTAATAAAAGCAATAATTTTCACAAAATAACGCTTGAAAATAAATTAACGGTAATAGAGTATCGCCTAAGAAGAGCCACTGATTTTCAAAAGTCGTAAAAAGCTTATAAAATAGACCGAGCTCTGCAATTCTATAAAACAAATATAAAAAGTTTCAATCATATATAACCTTAATTTAAAATTTGGTGTAGATTATATATTGTTTGAACTTCTAATGCTGCGACAGCGCTATATTTGACGCTGTCTTTTCAACAGAATAGCATTGCTGTACATTAGACTGTTTCGGCGCTGTCCTGCTCTAGCTTATGTATTTTAAATGTCATAGAGTAGGACAAAAAACGACAAAGTTGACGATATATTGCCAATTGGTTTTAAGCAATGGTTTTAAGAGTAAAACCCTGGGTTTGAAATGCATTTTATATTATGTACGTTCAATTGTACATAATATAATATGCATTTCAAACCCAAGGTTTTACTCTACATATAAAAATATTCTAGTTATTATTTTATCAATAACAATGAGCCTTCTTAAGCGGCATCACCTTAAATAATAGTTTAACCTACGATTTATTTAATTACTATCTTTAAAAAGAATTGTTTTTGGTGACAGAAAATAAAAAAACAGAATTGCATTAATTACGACTGAAGGAAATCTGAGCCAATTTATTAATACAAAATACCTTTTTATAAATACAAGATACATATAATAATTTAGTACTTAAAAAAAGCATATTTATTTTCTTTCAACAAATTACTATTGGAGAATGTTTGCACCGGAAAAAAAATAATTATATAACATCAACAAAAAATTTTTTTCTTAACGGTGCGTGTTGTGTATAACATTTTAAAGATTTAACTTTGTTGCATGCGCCTTTATAAACGGTAACAGTATTTATTGTTTGTAACTATTGTAAAAAATGTTAAGCAAATGTTAAGCGGACTAAAATGAAGTCGGAACTGATTGGGATAAGTTGTAAATAAATTTTAATTGACTAGCTTTAATATAATTAAATTAAATATTTCTTAATATAATTAAAACCGTTTTTTATTTTTAATCCCCTACCTATAACAATTATTTGCTATTCGCAATTTAAAATATCTTAAATATATTTTACATAATACATCTGTCGGTTCTCCCTTAAACAAAGATAGAAATGAGGAAAGATAGAGGATGGAATGCTGCAATCAGCTTACCTAAGTCAACATCGCTCGCGTAAATTTATTATGTCTTGGTAAATGGTACATCATAGATATATAAGGGATATATTTTCTGATACTTGAGGGGTACCATGCGCATTTTAAACGTTAAGCACTTATTTATATGTCGTTGGCATATCATTGAATCGAGGCCAATTGAGATCTGACCGGGCATATCACGATAAACCGCCATTTCTTGATTTGGCCAGGAAAATCACGATCGGCACGGTTAAAAGTTTGGCAGATTGACGATAAAATCGATTGCCCTGAGTACAGCCGGACAAATCGTCAAACGTTAAGCATTGAAAGATATGGCGGATGATATCTATCATTGACCATCTGGTCAAATCAAAAATGGAGGCATAACGTGATATGGCCGGGCAGATCTCGATCGGCCCAATTCAACGATTTGCCCGGACAAACGAACATAACGAAACTATAAAGGTTCCTTGTTGACTACGGAACCCTAAAAATAAACTGGAATAATATAAAGCGAGCTTAGTGTTACGTTCAATTAATCGTACGATATTTGAAGAGAAAACATCCGTTGCTGCATCCTTGACGAAAATAGTTCTTGATTTATATTATTAAATCAAACCCGATCATGGAAAATACCTTTGTTGTGTACAACTCTATGTCATGCTGCTCGTCGGTAGTGGAGATAGTATAGGACACCATAGAATAAGTAGCCAACTCTTTCAGTGACTCTAATTTTCCACAGAAGTCCAATATTGCACTACCTAATTCGACTTGAGGCTTTGATTTCTTTCGATTGTCTGCCTTTTTAAGGTTCCTGAGTCAAATATGTGTTATATATAATTATACATAATATACTTTGATATTTGCCTGAGTGAGTTAGGCAAATATCAAAGTATATTGCCAATAATTAAAACATATTATTACAATAGACAATAATGATTAATCTGAATTATACGATGCGCATTAACAGTGGCGGTCTAAATAGGGGGGGCGTAGGGGACGGTACGCCCCGGGCTCTTTGGGGACCTCCAAATGGCTGCGAGTTCCCTTGATCAAATCATAAATTGAGATTGTACTGCCTTATCTCTCTTTTGTCTAGTTTCGTAGTTTTAGCAGGCTTCTTCGCAAGGGGGGAAGTGGAAACGCAATATCAAGTTTCTGCACCAGTTGGAGAAATTTGTAGGTCCTGGCCTGATGCCGCCCCGGGCCCCTAACGGGGTTAGTCCGTCACTGGCCATCTCTATTGCGTGTGTTGAGCATCGCATTGACCTTTCATGCATTACCTATAATACTTGAACAGGCCTTATGCTGGATGCTTAAGGAGAATGAGGAATGACCCTCCACGGTGGCTCAATACGGACTGGAATGTATTAACGACTGCAAATGCAGCCGGGACCAACGACTAATCATGCCTACCGAAGCACGGAATAGATTGAGATTACAATTCGGATCACCCATCCTGTGGCCGACCCTTGCAAAAGTTGCTTAACAACAACGTTCGCGGGCCGCGGCGCATATCCACTATGCCACCGAGCTACTCCGATCATAATACATATTTACCAATAAACAAAACAACATCTTGCATTTCTAAATATATTTTTCCTTATAATCCAAACAGTAAACACGAGATCTCCATTAAAATTGAAGTGCGGAGTGATTTATATGACCAATATTTCAGACGAACGATGGTGTAAATATCTATACAACCAACTAACCCAATTGTCTACAAATGAAATTAAAAATTGAATGTACTTCGATTTAACTAACTGGTGTCCGAAAATAGCGTGAATGTTTTTATACAGACGATACTAAAGGTGAACGTGCTCTGTGTCCGCACGCACGCAATGGACGCAATGATTTTGAATAGCTAAAGCTTTATATATATTTGTATAAGCCTTCGTGCAGTAGTAACCGTACGCATTATATGAGCAAGTACATGCCGATGACGTCACACAAATTACTTCCATAGAGCTATACTATACTTCGCAACGTTATTTTAAAACTAATCAATTAGTGTTCTATTAAAGATCCGGATTCAATGGACGTATGACATCGGCCCTAAGAAATCCATACAATCTGTTGCGTACCGTGCGTTCGTTGCGTGTGTGCGGACACAGTGAACGTTCAGCTTTACACGCTCGTTTCAAGACATCGCCTCCTCTGAGGTCGCGGATTTGATTCCCGACTGGCAATTTTTTCATATTGATAAAACAATTTTTCTATCCATATAGAAAAATCATACGGAATCAGATTTCCATTGAAAAAAAGAGCTTTAGCTTTATTAAATATCTGAATAATGTATTGTATTACATATTTAATGTTAACTGTTTTCATTACAGTCCTTTAGTTACTTTCATCATTTTCTTCGTCTATTGGTAATATCGCTTAGCGATCAATCAATTATCGAAAACAATGGACAATAAATTTGAGTAGATATATTACGTTCTAGCAAACAAACATACACGCAGTCGAGAAATTTTGTATTATGCTATGTAGTAAGTAAATATCGCCAATATAGAATATTGTTTAAAAAAACAACACACAAGTGTGCCACTCTGATAGAGGGAGTGTTCATAAACCTACTCACATTTTACATATTACCTACTTACACTTAATACTTCAACATCGTTTTCTTAAACTCTTTTCGCGAAATAATATCAGTGAATATTACAGAGAGCGCTTTTAATAGGTTGTGAGTGAAGTTTTAACACATTTTCTTGTCATTCTTTCCTCTAAATTCTTACAGATATTTCAGAAAAAAAATTATATTTAGAAATGTTATATTTGTCTTATTAAACTATGGGCGCAATTAAAAATCGATTGAAACAATGATCGTCGCTGTGATTCGACAGTCGTTTATACAATGGGAAACCTATCCCAATTGCATCTCGAACAATGCTCTGAGATGAGGGGTGCGCACCCCAGCTGCGTACTCCGATCGATCTGTGGACCGCGTCTACTCTCATTACTGCCCGTGTAGTCCGTCAACGCGGAGCCGATTACGCGCCATTTTGGATATTAATTAAAAAAAAAAACAAATAATTAAAAGTTTAAATAAAAAAGTTTGGATGTGATTTTTAAAAATGGAAGGGCGAAGGTCCTGGGACGGTATTCCGCTGGGAGAATCGCACTCTCCACCACAGTCGGTGCCGGGTAGACGGACTCCGTTGGGTGCCGTGGGCCTGGGTGGGTTCTACATGCAAGGTGGACAGCCTCCACCACCGCCGCAGCACTGTTATCCCACCGACGAGAACCAGCCTGAGCCCGGCACTAGCTATGGACAGAGGTTAGTTTTTTAAGTAGTTCTTAAAACGAACATTTACTCCTTTGGAGGGTTCAAATAACCGCTACCTTTATATCAGATACTTAAATAACCAATATTGCTTACTTAAATCAAATTTTAGGCACGAACATTTGAATTTTCTTAAAATTTGCATAACGTCGATTGTTGTGATCATATGTTATTTCGCACATGCGCAAACTAGACCTCTCTTATTCAAACTTTGGTGTTGATAAATCACAAAAGAAAGACTTTTAGACTGAAAAAGAAAGCAAAGTTAAAATATAGTTACCTAATATAACAAACTTTTATATAACAACTATACAAATAATTAATACAAATAAATACCTATTGACCTCTTAAATGAATAAACAATTGATAACAATTTACTATCAAAGGAAGTTACTATCGAGAAATCATAAAAGTTTGACTTTGACACAAGCTAGATTCCTATTGACCTAAGTGTTATTCTGTTATAAAACAGCCTCGAACTCGTCGTCAAGCGCAGCGCTGTTATAACACAGAAGCTCAATCAAGTAAAAGCTACTTCAAAATATATTATAGGTTTATTTCATTGAAGCTTTATTTTGCTATGATGCTATTTTATATATATTAACAACTAGCTTTCGCCAGCAGCTTCGCCCGCGTGGACCCTAGGGAAATGTTTAGTGGGATAAAGAGTATCTTATTATCTAAGTCAGCTAATACCCTATCTGTATATCAAATTTCATCAAAATCCGTTCATTAGTTTCGGCGTGATTGACCGACAAACATCCAAACATCAAACAAAGAAACTTTCACATTCATAATATTAATAGGATAACCGAATCGCATAGTTATTTTTTGAGACTACTTTTATTTCGTCGTATAAAACTACATAGCTATAATAATTTTAACGAAACTTAATGTAACTAAATGAAATTATCCGAAAATAACTAAATAAAATGTGAACACATTCATTACTTAGATGTAAATATAACTTTTATATAAATGATATTTTGTTTTTTATGGTCATTAACATTATAATGATTATTTATTACGGAATCGCTACCTTATATATCTTGAGTTACACCATGATAATATTATCCAGTCAAGATGTTTAATACTCACAAACAAACATTATAACCGTTTAATTTCACGATAGATTTATGAATTGTTCTTATTCTTTAGTTACCTAATAATTTGAATAAATTGTGTACTTGCTAATATGAAATTTAATCCAAAATGCACACATGTTGGCGGAATCAGAAAATAATAAATGCATAAAGAATACCATCTGTGCGCCTATTCTATCACCCCTCGACTTGACCATGATTTCTATTGCCATTTTAAATGTAGAGTTATAGATCAATTACACCCGGCAATATGAAAATTCACATAAACATTGGAACATAATTCAATGACTGTTAAGGTTATCCTTCATTGTAGCTATACCAGTCTGATTATCTAATCAATGTTTCATTTAATAAAAATAATAATTTAATAGTTCTATCTATAAAACCTTTTTTAAGTTCATGCATAATAATTTTGTTATTAATTATTATTAATGTAAAAACGTTATCAGTAATAAAATAAACGAGTGTTATAATTTACACCATAATTAGCCTGATTTGGATTTTATCACGTTATAACAGCATTTTATTACCAAAATATAAACTTGTGTGTATTTTGGTGGTAATTAACTTTCTGTTTACATTTTCAATTTCTAATTCATTTAGATATTATCAACATGGTTTGTACTGTGTTCTCGTTGACATGGAATGTCACCTCGATATTTTTAACCACCGTATTATACAGTGCCAATAGATGGCGCTAGTATAATATGATGTGTTGCAGACCTTTATTATATTTTCCGATTTTAGAATGGAAAAGTGACCATATTAGAGTGCATGTATGATTTTACATGTGTTCACCGACCTTTTAGAATTCTTTTAAGATAAGCATTATATTCGTTCACTTTCTAAATGTATTTTTTTATAAAAAAAATATGTATAACCTACTTTTTCTTTTATCGTCAAGTTTAAATCGTTTTTGTACATACATTTTAAAGTGGAAACTATTATAAATGATATTTCGTTGAGAATCATAGGCCTATGGTAGCCGATGCCACCCCATTCGGCAGCGGTAGTTAGCGGGGACATACAATCCGGGCTATTGTTTGCACTGAAGAGTTATTTGGCACTTGCCACGCTTCGCGGCGCCCCGCACTTTACTCTAATCACATACATGGAGACAAATAAACATAGACTTTCTTATTTCATTGATAGAGCCCATTTTAGATAATAATTGTATTATTTGTGAAGAGAAAAGTAGAAGAATTAGTTTTAAATTTATTTATTGTTACTAGGTTTCATTCCATGAATATATAGGTATAATTGTTCTATATAAAGTTAACAATATAAATAAACAGAACAATCCTACACTAATGAGGTTTTACAGATTTCCATTCTTTAAAAAGTATGAAAATCTGTAAAACCTGAGAATGAGGTTCAGTTCATATCATCCGCCTGCAAAGCTTCGGCGAACTAGTAGTAACATCATAATCTAGCAGTGTATCTATCCCATGTCCGATAGTAGGTAAATGATTAGTACATTTAAAACATTTTAATGTACTAATAATATAGAAAAGGTCTAGTTTTAAGTCCAGAAATGAGAAAATTCCATAAAAACTTTCATCCCCTAATTTAGCCCCTTAGGGGTGGATTTTATAAAATCCTCTCTTATTGCTTCTCTACACTCCCTAAGTAATCTTCATTCAAAATTTCAACTTTCTACGCTATGTAGTTTCGGCTGTACGTTGTCTGTCAGTCATTCAGTCACTCAGTAACACAAGATTTTTTTATATTTTAACTCTACAGTTTGTATATAAAAATCCATGTATCTGCTACGAACCACTCATTGAGCGAAAAAATAGATCACAATGCGTTGTAGTAATGAAGAAAAGCCGTGACGCGTTCTGAGCATTAACTCTGTCTCGTGAGATACAGCCCGCACACCACGGGTTAACCATATCACGACAAACAGGATCTTAAAATAGCATAAAATAAGCCAAATCTCTTTGCGTACTAAAATTCTCCACTGTTACATCCGGCACATTCTTCTGTACGGATGCGAAGCGTAGACGATTAAGGAAAACCTTGAAAAACGTATAAAGACATTCAAAATGTGATTACAAATGATGAATTTCCTCAGAGGGCACGTTAGACTTGTGAACTTTAGCAGATAGTCAAACAAAGAAAAGTAGCATATTTGGGACATGTCATGCGACATGAGAGGTACTGCTACAGCTAATTATGATGGGAAAGTCGGAGGAAAAAAATCGTAGCTTAGTAATATCAGAATGTGGACAAGGATCACGAGCGCAGCCCAGTTTTCTCACCTTACTAATAAAGGAGAGGAGTTTGCTAAATTGACGGTTAACCTTCTCTAGTCGGAGAGATACTATGCGAAAAATAATAAAATAACTTAAAGTCCTATTATTTTAAGTATATTATCAGAATTTTACCAGTGATTAATATTTTTTACAATAATTAAATCAATTCTGGTTTGCTCACAGTCTACCTAATATTCCTCTCGTCTCGTCTATCGTCGTCACATCTAACCTTTGATGTGACCTAAACTAACCTAACCATTTTATTTAACGCGATTCTCGCTCGCTCGGCTTGTGCGTTTTTTGTCATACTCTAACCTAGCCTATACTTTATACCCTAACAGAGCTATTAATATACAAGGTTTAGCGTCGGAGTAAAATTACGCCAAAAATGCCATTTTAGTATTAGTCTAAATTCATATAATACAGAGAATAAGCAAATCCTATTACTCCCGTAGAGTATACTTGGTTAACCTTTGCTAAGGTCTCTGTTTAATGCGTCTATGCGTCGTTATCAAATATTGGTTCCATGCGCTTCTTTTCTTCTTTGCCACGACGAGTTGAGGTTGAATAGCAAATCAACCACGAAACGGATTTTCTGTGTGGCTTTTCTTTGATTGCCACAACGCGTCGTGAACTGCGGTTTCGATCTTTGAGCGTAACATATGCAACCCAATCTTTATTTTTCATTAAATTTAATTATAAAACTTTAATGATTACAGATCAATGGGCGAAGGCAAATCTAAACAAAAGATGCGGCAAGGAAAAACAGTGCGACTCAACATCAATGCCCGAGAACGACGGCGGATGCACGATTTGGTAATATATAATAATATTTATTTATCTGGTATATATGTCTTCTGATAAATACGAGTTACATGACAAACTCGAAAAATCTTTTTCTTCTACCAAATGAGTAGTTTGGTGATGTAGTGGATAGGCGCCGTGGCCCGCGATCATTGTTGTTGAGCAACTTTCGCAAGGGTCGATCACGGAATGGGTGATCATAAAAATATTATCACGAGCTACGAAAACTACGGAATTCGGAAGGCACGTTAAGCCGTCGGTTCCGGCTACATTTGCAATTGTTAATACCCTCTCATCCGCATGGGGCCAGCGTGGATGGTCCTATGCACATTAAATTGGCAGAATTGAGCGAAACGCGCTGATAAACCAGTAATTAATTAGAGAATAAGAAAAAAAGATATCTTATGGGCGCACCCGAGTAAAGTGACATTTGGGTGTAGACAAAATGTTCTAGAATACGTCACGCTACGTGTGTTAAAGACCGACCGCCGAACTCTCTAGCTATATGACTCTAGCCATAGCTATTAAAAACTTTTCATTGATTTTATCAATGGATATGTTTATATTATTCTATAATGTTATTGTTTATATATATTATATATATATATATATTCCTTTTTTTTGTTATTTTAAAAGTGATATTAAATTTAACTCAATCAAAACATGATAAAAAAAGTAGGATAAAGACAAAGTTTTATTGAAAACTGAGATGAGAATATGAGTTGGTACTTAATTAAAATTTAAAAGGTTATTTTTATTTTCTTCTTTATAAAGCGTTTAAATAAATGCTTTTTTAAAGGTTTATTACTCGTTTTAGTAATTAAAAAAAAAGAAACACGGCATGCTCATTCTGAATGCCCGTTTCTTAATAACTAAATTTACGTAAAACCCATTACGATCTGTTTTCATATTATTTTGTTATATTGTTACATTTTTTTCTTTTACTTTAAATATACTTATCAAGCCTAGTCAGCCTTTTTATTTGACTACCATCTTCTAAGCTACCCCAAACCCCTTTACATATTTGATACTAATTTCTGATATTTACGTTTTCAGAACGATGCCTTGGACGAGCTACGTGGTGTGATCCCTTATGCTCACTCTCCATCAGTACGAAAACTGTCCAAGATAGCCACGCTGCTGCTGGCCAAAAACTACATTTTGATGCAGGCCAGCGCTCTAGAAGAGTTACGAAGGTAAAGACAACAATAATATAATATTAAAACATTATCATCGGCCTACGAAGATGCCCACTAGCACGAGTCTTCTAAAAGAATGGAATCGAATAGGAAGGCTGAGTCATTCTATTATCCATCGCACCTTCCCAGTGCGGACTGGTGGGTCACCTAATGCTAATGTGCTAACCACTGCAACATCTGTTAAAACATACGGTGTGAAAAATGAAGAATATTTCACCTGTTCTGGAACTTATTATTTTAATATACGAAAATGCAAAATTGATTATTGCAACTTACAACTAGAATAGGCATAGCAGTATAGGTAACAAAGAGTTAACCAATTTAGTAAGTTCCTCACTAAAACAAAAAATAATTGACGCAATCAGTCCTCTCTCTCAATTACCTCACTCAATTACCTCACACTACCTCACTCAATTACCAGTAATTACGTATCCGACAACTAAACAAACTAGCAAAAGTCCTTAGAAGTCGTTATTAGTATCATTACAAATAACTGTGAAAATTTTTGAAATATTTCCTTTCCGAGTAAGCAGAAAGAACCACACGCCACAATGCACAGTTCCCTACACAGGACTTTCGACTTCGGCCGAAAAAGCTCGAAATATATTTCCCACATGTAAATCACCAGAAATCATTTAATCTTCTTAAGTCTGATCTTTAAAACCCACCAATAACACTTACTTACAAAACGAGTAACTCGATATGACTTTATAGTTATCATTTTATATTCAAAGTGTTGGAAACATCGTTAAACAGTTCCTATATTTACCTCGACCTTTAGCATGCGATATCGCAGGTTACCTCGGCGTGCGAACCAAAATCAGGTCACACAAATCAAAAAGTTGTAACCTACCGATTGGTATTGACCACAGGAATGGCGATTTTCCACCTTTTATAGATAATAGAATCGAAATTTTCATGCTTCGATAAATTTACTCAATTAAAATATTAAGCAGGAGTGTCAAACTCAAATTAATCGAGGACCATATATTAGATTTAGAATATGTAGACGGGCCAGGTTCAAATTAAAAAAAAATACTGAATTATTATTTGAAAAAAAAGCAAGCCAAAATACATATGGTTGATATGTAACTAGTTTGCTTGCTTTATATTTATATGGTTTATATAAATAAAGTGCGCATTTTCTAACTTCGGTAAAGTCTACATCCGAGATTAGGCAACGCTGCTCTTCTAAAATGTGGTTAATCTCATCGTATATAGGATAACTCGCATTGCTCTTAATATCGTATCCAATTGAATGCAACAATAAACCAGTGGCGGACTTAGGAGTAAAGTTACTCCTCGTTTTATAATAACACGGTTGATGTTTTTTACAGATTAGTTGCGTACCTTCAAGGTACGGCGACTGCAGCGGGCATAGTGCCGCCCCCTGGGTTGGACCTGGCTGGTTTTCCAGCGGCCGCCAAGCTGCTGCAGCCGCCCGCGCCTGGACCGCCCCCGCCACCCGAACCGCCATCTTGAGAACCACAGATTAAAACTGAACCGTAGACTAAACATCACGAGTTTTAAGAAAACATTTTACAATCAACATCAAAATGATACGAACCCATTATTTTAAATAAAAATGGAGGAAGTTTTGATTCTTTTTAACTTTTAAAATCAACTAGTATAATAAGCAAACTCAATTAGCATTAGTTATTTGCCAAACAAAGTAATTTCTTTAAACTATTTCATGTAAGGCCATAGTATGTAAGTATGTACTATATATTATTAAAAAGTGATACAATTATTATTTTAGTGAATTTTACAATAAAATGCTCCATTGCCATTTATCTTAGAATAGTATTCAAAAACAAAGAATTGCATTAGCTGATAAGCTGGGCTAAAGAAATTTTTCGACTCTTCACTAAAAACTCTTATTGCCGACACTGTACTTATTAAAATTGATAAAAAATCATGTGATAAAAATCTACAACTCTACACATTACTTTACAGCTATTCCACATAATACGTATAAACACATACACTCACATAAAGTGAAGATTAAAAGTTTCGAACTTTACTGAGAAAAATATTATTAAATAACTCCATAACAATTTTGACTCTTTAAAAAAGTCTAGGTAATGCATAAAAACTTAATATATCAGAGCTTACAAGCTCAGTAAAAGAACGGTTAATAAATAAGCACCCGAAAAGTCTATTTAAAAATAACAAAGTCTACTGTTAGTATTATTTTTAATGAAAATGCGTGCAATTGTGTAAATGTCTCAAACTAAAGCAGGATCGATTATGAATAGGGTAAGAACTTAGAAAGGGTAAGAATATAGAAATATTTAACAATTAGATGATAAGTTAATTTTTAGTTCTATAGTTATTAAATCTAAAGTTTACTTTCAGTCATAGGTAATACAAAATAAATATATTTCATTCCATGTTGCCATAGCTGTTTTGCATCAAAAAATAAAAACAAAACTTAAATGAACTTTTTATATGTCAGACTTTACATCTAAAAATTGAATTGTCCATTGTCTAATTAATAAAAAAAACATTTTAAAGTAATAATGTACTGACATGATTTCTGCTATACCTTATTTCTATCTATACCTTAACGAGGTATGTACATAATAATTCATTATTATTCTATTGTAATAAGGCACATATTGTAGGAATTTGTCATTAATTACACTGGTAAACAGTATTTTTGTTAAACAAAATCGAGTCGGTTTTTTAAACACTACTATCTACCCGCATATAAACCTCATACTTAGTTTTGATCAATCACCCTCAGTTTTCGTTAAACATAAACTAAATTGATTACGCGAATTTTGCTTACCGACGTATGTTTCCGATAAATTAATATTGAATTATTGAAATTAAAACGGTTTTTTTTTTGTGATTGTCGTTTCTGTACATCGTAATAAGATGCCCAGAGTGTGTGTAAACCATCCTGATAACTTTTGATACATTTGCGGTCAACTTACTATTAAAAGTCAACGTCGTAATTTGACACCATTAGTTAAAAACTGTTATTTTAATTATTTTGGCTTTCCGGTGCGAAATTTGGACAAAACCTGGACTCCTAGTGTTTGTTGTGCACTATGTGTTAGTTTATTAACATCATGGGCTAAAGGATCTCGTCATATCGCCCATGAAGAGTCAATAAATAATAACTGATATTTTGTCAATTTTTGATTTATTGAATTATTCGTTGTAAAATAGATTACTACAGAATAGTGACAAAGATTTTGGGTTCGTTTCTTATGTTTTTGTAAGATAAACAATAATTGCAATGTACTGAAAAACCAATATAATAGATTTGAAACGTTTTTTTCGTCTCCTGAAAAGTTGCATTTTTGCAGTTATTATTTATTGACTCTTCATAGACGATATGCCGTTTGCAGTTCCAATGATATGGTCTGAACAGAAAGACCATGTATCAGATTGTTATTTCTGCCAAACTTCTATCAAAGGAATTAAACCGATATGAAGACATTTTGTTTTATCATTGTACTACATTATTAAGTAATAAGAATTCCAAAACTACTGTTCCAATCCAAAACAAACCTAAAATCACAATTTATCTGTTTATAATGCTAAGTGGTAGTTATCCTATCTAGTAATATATTCATTACATAATGTATCTATTTAGTTATACGTAAAAATAACTTGTTTTGTAAGCATTTATTGTGCATGATAATGTAGATACATGAGTAAAAGTATAACTTAAAGCAAAGGGAATAAGAGTGCTGTAATATTGTCTAACTATAATATGATAATCCTAGTATTTTTATTGATTCTCTATTGAAATAGAGATAAAGTGAATCCATGTGCCAAATGATTAGATATACTATAGATAATGTAAATTAATGTGTAATATTTTGTATTTATAATTTCTTTAAAAAATACACATTAGATGTAAATATGATGTCTGTATTCCATAATTATAAACACATAATATAAAATAAGTAGGTAATGTTCAGAAAAACCATATGACAACTCCAACTCATAACATCTTATTTGAGTTTAAATGTATACTGATTTTATATAATTACTACAGATTTTTTCAAATTTGCTGACTAATAAGTTTTTTTCCAATCGTTAATTCTTTATTTACTATTAAGAATAAATCTGTACCCAATCAAACTCAATATAATAATGACAATTAAGTATCTTCAAAATAATATGAATAAATTTTCATTGTTACATCTAATTATTACTTATAATATCTGTAGTTATATGTACTAATTACTTAGTGTTGTTATCAGCTCAATATTACGGAATATTAAAGTAGGTAATATTTTTATTTTTTAGCAAATATTTAATAAAGTGTCGCTCAAGAGCTTAATACTGCATGAATTAAAAATATTTACATGCAATGTATAGGTTCCAATATTTTAGTTTTTTGCTCACACAAGTTGAGTATAAATCTCTCTCAATAACTTTAGCAAATTGCAAAGGCAGTTTGTGGTGTGCTTGCTTTATGTCAACTATATAAATATTATATTATACAAAAAGTTGCTACATTGAATTATCGCAGTATTATTACTTTCTGTATCGAATAAAAATAGCTATTATGAATGCCATTAGATTATTAGATTTTATAGAAAGTTAGAAGTTACTTTAGAATTAACATATTTACAACTTTGCGTCCAACTTACGAAGAAATTTTTTTGTAAGTGTTGAGTAGGGAATTAAGGGTCGGACAATTTGTGTAAAAATATAACCATACTTTTTAAAATGAAGTCATTAGTTAAGTTCTATAAGATAAGGATATGGTTAATTCGAAGCCTCTAAATATTAAAATCAATCAAATCAAAGACTACTTGTAATCATTTTAAGTGCTGAAAATATTTTACTGAAAATTCCATGTCAATAACTCGGAGAAAAAAGGTTGTTGACACCAATACAACAACCTTATTTAAAAAAAAACTAAGGCTGGCATTGGATTTAAAATAAATATGAATTTTGATATATCGATAGAGATTGAAACTTGCACCCAAAATTGAGTTAAAAATCCGTCTTTCTCAACGTGGCAATGACTTGTCGAACTTGTACCGAGTCACCAGTGTATGTGTTTAAAGGGCATCATCCTGCTTGACAGTTTTGCAGTAGGTAGAATTTGCAGGTCATGCTATATTTAAAAAAAAAAGCAGCCTCGAACCTAGTCGAACACAACGCTATCACACCATAGAGGTTTAATCAAATAAAACCTACTTCAAAGTATAATATGCAAAACACTAGTTGCATCCAGCAGGCCAATTCCGCTAATATCAATTACACGCATTCTGCCACTAGCTACCTGAAGTCCAATATTATTATACTTAAGTATCTATGTCACTATTGATGTGTGAGGAAGATATTTCACTAATAATATTGCCTTTAGATAGTATTTGGTAAAATATAAGTCGTTAAGTAATACATTAGCAGAATTAGCCTGCTGGACAGTGTTGCCGGATTATATGGCAGACAAGCTAATTGCCAAACAGGATGGTGAATTAGCCCTTTTCGACAATTATTCGAAATAAGCATTATGTTTATCAATGTTACAATTACGCACCTAGAGAGGGATTATTTAGATTTTCTTAATATGTTACGATATTAAAAAGGTTGAACTAAAGTAATTACTGATAAAGCCAAAGTAAATGTGATTGTTAGCAATATATTTCATTTTATAATTTATTTTAATATTTAATAAAAAGTGACGATACTGAATATCTGTTTGTTTAAAATTATGGCGTTTCCCGAAAAAGAAAAATGCTAAGAAATATATTCTTATTTATTTTTTCATCTCTTACGAAAGACAGAAAATATTCGAATGAAATATGTAACTCAGTGTACGGGTCACCGTATATAAAATTAAATTATGTCATTGAATTGGATATTAGGATTCGTATATAAAGGGCAATCCTAAGTCATAGATTTAAACTTGTGAACCATTAAAAACAAAATAAACAATCTAACGCAAACGAAAATACTTCAAAGCACATCTTGTATCAAATAAATTTTAACAGCAATTACTGTCATACCTTCTTCTTCTTAGTCGTGTTGCTCCTGACAGAGCGGACGTGGTCATTATAAGGCAGCATCATCATCGATGGTGGTGGCTGATATAACCCTTCTCACAATTTTTCGCCATCTTAATCTATTCACCGACATTCTACTACATTTGTGTAGTATCTCCAACTGCTGACTTTATTTGGACAACTCGTCATATGCGACATCTGCCACATAGCCAGACCATGTGGTTCCTTCGCCTCTTACCTGGACCACTAAAAGAACTATGGAGTCATGGTTTCGAGTCCAGAATGTTTAGAATATATATTTAGAACATGTGCAAAATCGTACACGAGATTTTAGCATAGAGTTATTAATTATTTTAGAGGGAGTAGTTGTAAATCTCATAATAAAATTAAAAACGAATACGCGCCTCAAATACTCAATTCTGCAATCATGTTGGAGAAGAAAAGAAAAGGCAAATCTTCTCTAGGTATTTATAATAATGTCATTTTTTATATTTTTAA